GGCCAGTAGGCCCCACTTTACAAAAACATTTGCATCACAAATGATTCATCAGCAGTGCAGAACATGTGATGCAGCCATTGTCTCCGAGGTTCACAGAAAAGCATACGTGTGAAGGTTAACATGGGCACTGTGCATCACAATCAGTGTTTGATAATAAACATAAAGAAGCGTATTGCATTAGTCAAGCCTCTATATGCTCACATACAGAGTGATTCTACATTCCATCACTGAACACAAACAGTCAGTCAGTCAGAGACACAGACTCATTAGGTGAGTAAGACCAGATAAATGAAGCAGGATAGAGCGAGTCTGGGTAACAGTGCTGCAGGACATACCTTGCATTCCAGTAAGGCTCAACATTCACAGTTATCACATCTCCCTGGAAATGAAGGACACTGCTCCTAAAAAAGACACATTTGGCACATCTAGATGGCGAGAAAACGCCATGATGCATAGGCCTAATGCGTCTGTTTAAATAAAACAGATACGGTTCAAAAGTTTGGGGTAAGAAATTAAAGACCGTAAAGTTATGATGTTGCAAAATATTTCAATTTTAAATAAATGTTGAACGTTCTCATCATTAAAAAAAAAAATCCAAAGTGCATATTTTGCTTTAATGGAAGATCTTCTGACTGGCTGTAAAAAATGTGTCAAATGTACTTTGTCTTTACACATCAATGTATCATCACGAGCCGCAGGGTTTAATTTGGTTTTGTTTGTGTATGTTTTTTTGACTCTCAAAGCCATGATTTCCATTCACTTCCATTATAAGACTGACAGACTGCAACGGTTTGAGTTAAAAATCATCATTTGTGTTCTACTGAAGAAACAAAGTCACCTACATCTTGGATGCCCTGGAGGTAAGCAGATAAACATCACATTTTAATTTTTGGGTGAACTATCCCTTTCTTAAGAATTTTTATTTTGCTTCATAATTTTTGCTCAAAAAATTTTACAATTCCTAAGACCATGTGTTTATTTGAAGGAAATGAGAAATAAACGATGAAGAAGAGAGAGATTTCATGAGAGGGCAGAAGATCAGGCCTTCACAGTCACATCTGTTGCTGTTCAGCTCCTAATGGCTTAACTCAGACATTACACCTATCACACAAACCTACTTTCCCTTCCTGCATTCATGACTTCACTTCTGTCTGAATGGTCTGGCTGTTGATGCTGGCTCACGGCTCTGGAGGAAAGCAGCATTTTAGTTCATCGAACTGGGAACATGTGATTTATGAGCAAACCACAGGGTTGACATCCTAACAGGGAAGAGCCACTGGAGCTCCTTGCACATACTGTATTTGTATTTCTACATGCATCCCCTTAAGTCTCATCTCAAAATGTCAGCCATGGGTGTGTTGTGCAGCAAGAGCATGAAAATGGTGGCAGTGTAACCACATGGCGGTTACATTAGATTTGGTGAAGGATTTCAATTTACCATTTGCAAACTTTTACAGCCAGCATGACTTGTGCATTGAAAAACTTAAAATGTAAAGCCTCTTTGCATGCCTTCGATACAGGATCGATAGCAGACCACCCACCAGACCTGGTAAAATACTCTGTAAGAGATCTTAGGGACATAGTCTCATGCGGTTTCACAGTAAAGCAGCACTGAAATCGGTTTTCAGCTGGGCTCTCAGAAGGTATGTGCACTTTCCCCATCGCAAACACAGCTGCTCTCTGTAACTGAACCTGAGGCCTTTGACACGTCACCAGACACACACACACATTGGCCAATTTATACTCCCAATCTTCCTCACTGCAGGTAAAAAACCCTTCTGCACCACACCTTTGAAGCATAAAACAAGCTGCCTTCACAGGAGTCACATGAGAATATGACAGATAAACGGTACTAAGCAAACTTTAGCCCATTAAGCCCCTCACCCACTCCAGGTGCACGGCCCTCTTAGATCAAGGGCTTCGGTCACCTAGTTTGCAGTATTAAGTCAGATTTTCCTGTCAGCTTACAGAGGGGTGGTTGTGTCATTCCCTGCTGTGCTGACATGTTTTGTTAGCATCAAACAAAAAGATCTTAAGATTGTATGTTTGAAAGTACTAGTTTTTGCGTACTTGAGCTTCAGTCTTCATGTGTCTATCCAACTATACATGGCATGTTGCATGTCCTTTGTGTCATTAAGCAGAGATACAGATTGCATTATCTAGGTTGGTTAGTTTGACTTTGAAATTGTCGATTATGTGTGCCTTGTGATACTATTGACTGTATTTAGATTCTGCTGTTGTCTTCTAGTCTTTCTGACTTTGTTACATGTCTCACTGTTGTTTCCTGAAAGAACCGTTTTGTTTTTATCCATTGCCATTCAATGTCCTAAAAATAAATATAGTTGACTTAAAAAATCAACTGGATTAATTCATTTGTATGACAGTTTAAGGCAAATTATTACTTTAGTCTCACTGATATCAAATTGTGCATGTAAATGTGCTTTGTGACAATAGTTTGAGAAGCAATTACCAAAATGCATTTTTGCCTTAATTCCATTGCACTGCTTCTGTGTGAACTTGCTGATGAAATTGTCTTCTGTAGATCTATTTCTTAGCAAATCTGGAATCAAATTAGTTTCATAAGTGACTAAACTTCAGTATTGTTATTGAACTGAATTGATTCAACATTGAACTAACTCAAACTGACAAAATAGAACTGAATAACACTATTGTCTTTTGTAGAACTTTTTAGATGAATTGAATTGGTTTCGTAATAACACTGAACTGACTGGAGCTGAACAATGACACTTGTCTTTTCAGAGTTGTTTTACAGCAGAATATTAATTTGTCTCATATGTGACAGTTTGCATAATTGATTCTGTTATTTTGTACAGTCATTACTGTATAAAGCACTACATAAACAAAGGTGACTTGACATGAATAATGTACTAATAATGTACCTTTTACATTACTTTTACAGCTTTTTAAAATGTATTAAATTTTTTATTTTATTTCGTATTTCACAAGTTGTACATTTTCAAACTTATTACTAATCTCACAACCAATCATTAAAATGCACCTTTTCCAAACATCAGCGTGTTTTCAACTGCGTTAGTACAAAACACTAAATCACAAAGCATGCTTTTCACAACACAAAATAGGTGTTTCATCTATTTCAACATTTCATTCACAACAACTACCATTCATAATGTTATTACTATCAAACTTTTCATTTGCCTCTCTTCTCATTCAGATTAATGTCTATGATTTAATCCAACCGATCTTAATGGTTAATCAGTGAAACATTTGGTATCTATACATTTCTAGAGATACAGATTCTGTAGAACTGCATGGTTGGCATTTCCGAAATAGATAAGTAAAATAAATTAGTTACAGTAAACAATTTAAATCGGATGATAACCACAATGTTCAAAGTGTGTGTGTGTGTGTGTAAGAGAAAGAGAGAGAGAGATTTGCAATTTGTGATAAATATACATAGAGCAAGATACAATTAAATGTGTGCCTGTCTGTCAGATTGGTCAGACACATCTGAATAAGGGAGACATGTATGCCATGTGGGACTATAAACAGAGGACTTACCATGGTAGACACTGTCAAAGTAATGTAAGTCACCCAAGAAAACAACGAAACTACAGTACAGACTCAGTCAACATTTACTGTACTGGCAGCAAACTGTACTACACAAAACCTCATGGCAATGTCATATCTCCATCACACCTTTTGTTGACAAACTGGACAAATAGTATTGCAAACTTAATGGATTTTACATTAATTACGCAAGTTAGATAATGTAAGTGTATTGTCTAATGGAGAAAGTCTAGCCTGTATTACTGTAACCTCAGCAGCATGGCTGATTTGAAACATGTATCTTGCATTGTTTGGTGTTGAATGAACTGATTGTTAAAAGCACTAAATTGAAAGTCATACTGTTGTGTTTCAGCGATTAAACCAAATGTTCTCATTATTTATTACAAAGATCTTGTGTTTTGAAACAATGATTATGTGGACTGAAATTATAACCAGTGAAAGCATCGACTAGCAGTGTAATCAGTTTGGATTTTTGCAGTAAGAGTTTCGAAAACATACACCTTATATACCTTGGACCACAAAACCAGTCTTAAGTCGCTGGGGTATACTTTTAGCAATAGCCAAAAAAAATACTGTATAAAAATTATCCATTTTTCTTTTATGCCAAAAATCATTAGGATATTAAGTAAAGATCATGTTCCATGAAAATATTTTGTAAATTTCCTACTGTAAATATCAAAACGTAATTTTTGATTAGTAATATGCATTGCTAAGAACTTCATTTAGACAACTTGAAAGGCGATTTTCTCAGTATTTTGATTTTTTTGCACCCTCAGATTCCAGATTTTCAAATAGTTATATCTCAGCCAAATATTGCCCTATCCTAACAAAATTCAATTTTGAAAAATTGCCCCTTATGACTGGTTTTGTGGTCCAGGGTCACATATGTAAAAAAAGCAACAAAATGAAAAGAAAAAAAAGCAAGTAGACACAAATATGACTTGCATGACTAAGTATCGGTACGGGGTCAGTCTCAGTTCTTACTGGCAGTTGGTGTCTAGTGTCTAGTTTTTTATTTAGTCCAGGTCCTGATGGGATGGGTGTGGAACTTCTAAATGTAATTTTTCCAAAAACAAATGAGACACTCTTGAATTATCAGCAGGCAGTGTTATTGCATCACACTGCACAGTTGAAAATCATTATAAAAATGTGTTACCTGTGGCAATACAATAAGACTAGCATTGTAGAGTGGCATTTCTTTCTTTACTTTATAAATCTCAACCTAACATACAATGTGCAAAACAAGTTAAGAAATGTATTGCTCTGGTTAGGTTAGTACCCATCACTTCGTTAAAGAGTTGATGTATAATTTTGCATTTTTTGTGTTCTATGCACACTTTATGACATCTGACTATTGTACATGTGGTAAATAAACTGATGTAAAATGTGTAACGGCTGGGAAAGGCACACTGTTAATAATATACACTTCATGTCTCTTTGCCTATAAAACAATGCACAGCAAATCCATCATAATGTGCAGGAGGTATGGTTAGGAATTATATTCAAGCAAGCGGTCCATTGCAGGTTAATGTCTAATGCCGATAAGCCCTGCCTCTCCAACTAGTCAAGCCAATCCTCTTCTCAAATTCGGCATGCGTCCAACTGCTGCTCATCAAGCTGAAACCGCATAAAGATCAGTTTCAATCCTCAGGAACCACACGCCTCAAAAAAAAAGTTTGCATTGCAAAAGACCGAAAGATTTGCTTCGTCACGGTCCTCAACCGTAGTGCAGAGAAGCGCTGGACAAGGTCCTGCCATGTCCCCCAGTCCAAATGCAGGTCGATCAGTGGACTCCTCCGTTGCATGACTTGATACTATGCATATGGAAAACCGTCTCCATTGGGTGAGAGGGGATGGACTGCTTATAAACAGGGTTAGATGCCTAGGAAGAAGACAAGGAGAGAGAGACCGAGGAATAAATAGGTCAGATGGGCTCATTGAAATGCACATGGTTAGAAGGGCAGAGCGAAAAGAGTCTTTGAAACACAGCCTTGGAATGATCATCATGACTGATCTGCAATCCCAGCTGACTGATGTTTTCCAAAAGGCCTCATGGTTTCAATCCAAGTCTAGTTGTTTTTGTCCTTCTGATTGCATAGAGTTGCCAGTTCAGGCTATTTGCATTTTAAATAACTTACAAACAGTGGTATATGAATGCATCTACACTACCATTCAAAAGAAAGAAATCAAACCTTTTTTTTGTCTTGCATAAGATTTCTAAATAAAATGTAGAATTTTTATATTTTTTTTAAATGTATCCCAATTAATGCTGTTCTCTTGAATGTTTATTCAAAACATCTGTGAAAATGTTTCCAAAAAATAAATAAAAATAATCAGCACAACTGTTTTCAATATTGATAAGAAATGTCTTCCATTCTTTTTTTTAGAAAAATGTATTTTATTCAGCAATGACGCATTTAATTGATCAGTAAAGATATTTATGTATCCTTCTTTAAACATTTACTTCTTTTTAAGTATTTACTTTGAATTTACATTCAAAGAATATTGAAAAAAGTATGATTTCCCCCCAAAAATAGCAAGCAGCACAACTGTTTTCAACACTGATAATAAGAAGAAATGTTTCTCGAGCACCAAATCAGCATATTAGAATGATTTCTGAAGGATCATGTGACACTGAAGACTGTAATAATGGCTGCTGAAAATGCAGCTTTGCATCACAGGAATAAATTGCATTATAAAATACTGTCAAATGGAAAACAGTTAATATTGTAATATAATTTCACAATAATACTGTTTCATTGTATTTTTGATCAAAGAAATGCAGCTTTGGTAAACATAAGGATTCTTCTTTCAAAGAAGTAAAAAAAAAATTTTTTTTTACTGAAGCCAAACTTTTGAATAATAGTATGCAAATAAAAAATATAATAAAATAATACTAGCAATTCTGGATCCTTGATTAACTGAACTCACTAAGCGAACATTTTGTCAAAAGTATTGTGACATGTAAACAAGCATTCCAACATTTCACAAGTATCTGATTTCTATCATTTGAATCAAACATAGTGCAGTAGATAGATTAAATCTCACCATTTCGTATCGCGCCCGTGAACGTGCACTCTGGAAGTGTGCAAACTCGCGGCGGTCGTGAATGGTGATGACCAGTTTCCAGAGCGCTAGCAGCACGATGCCCATCAACAAGATGCTGCCAACAACTGCCAAGAGCACAGTCATGGCATTTGGGGCAACAGCACATTCTGTAAACACACAAAATACATAAATGCATGGCCATAATGATATGATATGATAAGATATGACGTACTTTCCCATTAGAAACAAAGCCTGTATCAGAAATATAACTTATTTTACTTTGATCATTTCTTTACTTATACGTTCCAGAAATGACTGTGCTTAACATGATTCTGAAATGCCGTTCTTAGTGGGGTAGTTGTGAAGTGCTAAACACTGACCTGGCTCTTTAAGAGCGGTGAGGACTGACTGGCCATTGGCATGTTCAGAGTAGGTGAACTTCATCACACAGTCATTCTCTGTCTTATACACGCATTGAACAGTGTTGGAATCATCCATTTCTGAAACAGATAGAGAGAAGTTTAGTTTAATAAAACAGCTGTGCAAACTGTGTTTGAGGCAATAAAATGAGAAAGACACGTCGAGCCAACAGCATAAACACTGAAATTATTGTTGGACCAGACCTTGCATTCCTCAACAAGGACCCAGATTGATCAAGAATGTTTCAATGTTATCAGAATTAAAATCCCCAACAGACGAGGAAGTCTCTCCCTTCCTAACAGTCATTTAACTACGGAGCCTCTTTCTCCGAATGAGCTAGATGTTTCCAGGTATGCACATGTGCAGTCCATTAAGGAAGTCAGCTGACTGAAACGGCAGGGAAATGTCGTGAAACATAAAATCCATGATGCCTTCTTTTACAATTAGGAGTGACATGGAAAGGCCTTAAAGGGTTCACAAGCAACCTGAATGTTTCACTACAGTATTTCAGCGAATAAGACCAGCTTCATATTGCTCAACAATAAACATTCATTCATGCATTCCTAGACACATGTAAAAAAAAATTCCTCCAGCAATAAAACCTGTTATAAATACCCTGGAGAAGGTCTCAAACTTTATTCATAGCTTACGGACTCTAATAAAACCTTCATAATTATAAATTAATAAAATAAAATAAAAAATAAACAAATATAATAAAAAGATCTATATACACAACAAAAGAACGTTTTCTAAATTGCTATTCTAAATGAATCGGAGCATTTTACATGCTAGTGGTTTGTATTAATAGCAGGGTTTTAGAGGAAGAGCAGTAAACACATGCTTTCACAGTGGGACACAGAACAGCGAGTCTTGCTGAGACGTCCAGACTCACATTCTCTAGATAATAACATAAACAGAGCTGGCCATGATATGCCACAAACTGTGCTTCACCCTGCTGCGGGTAACACAATCACGACCTGGAAGCACAAACTGTGGCGCTCGACCAACAGTGTGTCCTGATGAGATGGACTGATCTCTGAACTGAGCTCCTGATCACTGCTGGGTTCAACTTTTCTCTTTGACTTAAGGAAGATGTATGTTAAGCAACCATAATTGTGTTAAGTTTTACTTTTTGAGTTTTCTCAAATGAGTCAATTTAAGTACTATATTTACGGAATAGTTAATTGATAGCAGAGCATAACCATACAAACAAACAAACTAAAAAATATTGTTCTTTGGCTTAAACAAACCACACATGTATTTGTATCAGAGGAAGAAGTGTGTTTGTGCAGGGTGCAGGGATGAAGTGATAGAAAAGCCGCCCCAAACCATCATTCAGTGTGTCAAGTGTGTACTCACTGAGTGTTTCCACGGTGATGATCTCATCCTTGCACATGCGCTGGCAGGTCTGGTTATCGGCCAGTCTCCCCGTGTTAAAGAGACGGCACTCGATGCATTCCCTGAAGAGAAACATTCAGAAAAGTCAAACTATAACCATCACAAGACTGACCAGGTTGAATCTAAACAAGAGTCATTGACAAAGGAAAGTTATCTCAGACTCTGCCAGTCAGCTCGGAGGAGTCTAATGGAGACCATATGTTGGTGTATGTAGTGTAAATAAGAGCTCTACTGACATCATCTTGTGGCATGCTACCTTGTGCCACAGAAATATTTTCGACTTGTCCCTCAACAACAAAAACAAACACACTGCAGAATCAGTATCAGAATCAGAAAGAGCTTTATTGCCAATTGTGTTCACATACACAAGGGATTTGTCTTGGTGTTAGGAGCTTCTGGTACAGAAAATACAAACAAAGTGCAGACATACATAAAATGAGAGAATAGACAATAAATTATAAATAACAATAGTAATAAAAATATACAGAAAAAGGAAAAATGGCCATAGACAGAACTGTGAATGTGCATATGTGCTATTTACAGATGAAAGTTTAACGAGTTATTTACAGATGCGCAGTACTGAAGTGTGTTATGTGTTGTTCAGGTGCGATATGGCCTGGGGGGAAAAAACGTTTTTGTGTCTGGCTGTTTTGGTGCACAGCACTCTGTAGCACTGGCCAGAGGGCAACAGTTCAAAGAGAGAGTGGGTTGGGTGTGAGGGGTCCAGAGTGATTTTCTTAGCCCTTTTCCTCACTCTGGAGATGTAAAGTTCTTGGAAGTTGGGTAGAGGTGCACCAATAATCCTCTCAGCAGTCTTGACTATCCGTTGTAGTCTTCTGATGTCTATTTTGGTAGCTGAACCAAACCAAACGGTTATAGATGAACACAGGACAGACTCAATGATGGCCGAGTAGAATGGTTTCAGCTCCTGCTTTTTTCGGCTGGTTGAACTTCCTCAGCTGGCGGAGGTAATACAGCCTCTGCTGGGCCTTTTTCACAATATAGATTCAATGTGATTGTCCCACTTCAGGTCCTGAGAGATGGTGTTGCCAAGGAACCTGAATGACTCCACTGCAGTCACAGTGCTGTTCATGATGGTGAGTGGGGAGAGTGCAGGGGTTCCTCCTGAAGTCCACGGTCATCTCCACAGTTTTGAGAGTGTTTAGCTCCAGGTTGTTGTGACTGCACCAGCCAGCCAGCTGCTCAACCTCCTGTCTGTAAGCAGACTCGTCTTCTTCCTTGATGAGGCCGATGACTAGTGTCATCCGCAAACTTCAGGAGCTTGACAGAGTGGTCCTTTGAAGTGCAGTCATTTGTATACAGGGAGAAGAGCAGTGGGGAGAGAACACATCCCTGAGGAGCTCCAGTGCTGATTGTGATAGTCCTGGATATGAGTTTACCCAACCTCACTAGCTGCTGCGTGTCTGTCAGGAAGCTGGTAATCCACTGTTAAACATTATAAATGTTAACATGGGACTAGTGGAATTTATAATTGTTTATTATTGCTTTATAGAGTCTTCGAGGATTATGTTCAGTAACTTAACGATGCAATAAGCACTCGTGATTTATGAAGGACAAAGTGGGTCAAGAGTGCTCTTCAAATGTAACATTAAATTTTGATATACATCAGAACCATTATGCATATATTTGTGTGAAAGAACCAAGCAATTCTTGGTGTTACATACAATTACTGTTCAAAAGTTTGGGGTTGGTAAGATTTTTGTCGTTTCCTGTTTTTGAAACAAGTAACTTATGCACATATTTGATGAAAAACAGTAAAAACAGTCATATTGTGAAATATTGTTACAATTTTATTTTTATATATTATAAAATATAATTTATTCCTATGATGGCAAAGCTAAATTTTCAGCATCATTACTCCAGTCTTCAGTGTTCCATGATCCTTCAGGAATCATTGTAATATACTTGGTGTTTAAGAAACATTTCTTATTAGTATCAATGTTAAAACCAGTTGTCCTGCTTAATATTTTTGGTGGAAATCATTATACTTTTTCACAAGATTCTTTGATGAACAAAGTTAGAAATAAATGCTATTTTTTTAAACTCTTCTTTAAAATAGAAACTTTTGAGAGCATCATAAATATCTCTACTTGTCACTTTCAATCATTGTAATAAATCTTTGCTGAATAAAAGTACTTTCTTAAATTTTTTTTTATTAAATCTTACTGGCCCCAAACTTTTGAATGGTAGTGTAGATATTATCGAAGTACTGCAGTCCTTCACTGGAATGCCACTAGTATGTGGCAAATAAATTGTAGGGTTGCCCTTAACTAAAAAAAAAATGTATGGTCGACTAGTAGTCGTTCATTTTTAAGCATTAGTCTACTATTAGTTGCATGCTTATGCAATTTAACCAATTTAAATCATCAAATAATTTATTGATAAACTACTTGTTTTCGGTTTAAAAAATGCAGTCTGCGACACCGACTCATCATCTCCGCAGTGGTGATGCACCTGTATGCATGTTTCATACGGACTACATACACTGAGAATATTTGTTTTCCATTTGAATTTGTTCATTTGAAAGTAGACATTTCACTCTCTATGGATTTATTTTTCATGTCTGTAAGGCAAAGATATACAGAGAGTTTTGCGTTCAAGTTCACAGAGACTGAGACGGCAGAAAGCGCATCTGGCTTGCTTTCATTATTTAACAAGCTCAATGTTTGTTGTTATTGTGAGTACACACAAAAAAACAGTTTTTACAGATTTGAAAGATGTATTACTCTTATCTGTATGAGTATTTTAAGAGCAAGTGACTGCACCGGCGCTCATCTGTCATGCAGTGAGTGCTACTGTTCAGCTTCCACACTCTGCATGACCTTACCACTTCCTGTGGATAGTTTTTTTTTTCTGCGATTAAGCGACTAATAAAATTTTGGTCGACCAAGCCTCTTTTCATCAACTAATGGTTAGTCGACTATTAGGGGGCAGCCCTAATAAATTTTATGAAAAGGAAGTGCTAATTTAAAGTAAAATAAGGTTGAACTGCTGCAAATGAATATGAACCTGTATGCTATCGGATAGTACAATTCCCATATGCAAAAATATTTACAATAATGTATACACTTTTACAGACAGACCTCACATTAGAAATCGAGTTAGCTTTAGTTAAGTTAGTTTCAGCATCCTCGGTCTCATACCTCTTTGTTCCACAAGCATCTGGACAGGTGGGACATTTTTCGCATGTGTCCCCAAATGCCCCTGGCTCAGTGCATTGGCACCGCCCACACACACAGCTGCCCCGCCCGCTACAGATCTTGCCGTCGTCCGACACACAGGAAGCCGTCTCTGTAGAGCAATTACAGTTGTCTCCAATATAACCAGCGTGGCATTTACACTCACCGCAGTGGCATTCTCCATGGCCTGGAAAACAGGAGAGAGATCTGGAATAAACCTTACATAACTTGTAACACTGTAACCTCTTATTTTGTCAAATGGCTGGTATGTGCAACAATATTGCACTAACAAATGTGGTTAACTCACTGGCGTGGACAAGAGGTATGAACACAAAGACCTCTTAGAAAAACATAATACTGTAATGCACAGTGAAAATGAGAACTTGCATATAACCAACATTTACTGACATGAATGGAAACAAAAGCGTTACACATTTTTTCTGTAATAACACAAAGACGGCCGCTGTCTACTTCTCCCACATTCTCTGAAGTCTCTCTGTCCATGGCTGTGCACATTCCACTGGACTGATTACATGCAGATCTCCTCATTCCAACACCAAGGATTCTTGGCTTGTGTCTCCATCACTGAGTGTGAGCAGAACTCTTTTTGTGTTTTGCAACAAATGTGCCAATGTGTTAAAAGTTACTGCATGAATGACCCAAGTGAAAGTTAATGTTTTGATGCAGTACTGTATGAGCGAAAATGTAAAGGGTCTTAAAGCCAAAATGATAAACAAGACACGCTTTCATGGCAAAACAGCTGTGAACAGATTGAAAGCAGCGGTGAACACTTGGTGTGCCATCAGCTGCCGCTGCAGCCTCACACCAACGATTGCACAAGGAAAAATTTAGCACACATGCTCCAAAGATGCAGTTTTGTGCTTGTGTAGTCCAGAGAGGTCATATTAGCTTATAGGAAAGATGAGGAGTTCTGCTTTAAATGTGATTGTTTACCCATAAATACATATTCTGCCATTTACTTACCCACAAGTTTTTGGATTATTGTTTTTTTTTTCTTTATGCAGAAAGTAGAAATTTTAGAAGACCTTTGTAAAAAGTTGTAGAATTGTAGAAAGACCTTCATGTAGCTCTTTATACATTTCATAGTGACCCGAGGGTTTCAAGCCAACACTTGAAAAAGTGAAAATGCATCCAAACATGAACAGGTCCAAGGCCTTTATGTTTGCAAGCACATGTACATATGTGAACGTGAACATGATCAACATGCTCCTGAACACTAATAGTTTCTATTACTTTCATTCTTTCCCATTCACTTTGAATGGCTGGACATTTTTGACCGGGAACACCACAAGTGTGACTTTGTGCCATTTTGTACAAAATAAAAGCATTTAAAAGCAAACTCCCTGATTAAACATTAAAGTACACTAGTGCGATAAACAGTGTACATTTTCATCAGTTTTTATTTAATATTGTGAAAATTATTCATAAATAATGCTTTTTTTCACTCAAAAAATGAAGTGCCTACTCTCAGATAAATGAGGCCTACGATTAATCAGAAGCAAATATAAATACAAAACCAGTCCTAAATGAAAGAAAAGAAGTTGACAAAAATATTGAATCCAATATTTGGTGATAATATAGCATAATGAGTGATTTATAAGCAATTTTTTGAGGGAGTGCCTTTTTTGCTCTGTAACCTCGTAGGTGTAACAAGGTGAAAAATCTCCCCCAGAAAAGTATGAAAATTATCAAAACATTTTTTAGAAGTAGTTATACCCTTTGTGAACAAAGTCACACAATTTCAGTCCAATGCGATAACATTAACTAGTATTTTCAGGAAAAAGAAAAAAATTTCAGAGCAAAAAGGACCATATTGCACATTCTCCCACCTACTGTGGGAGATGCTGTCTGATGCAACCTAATCTTGTGAGAAAAGGAAGTTACATGACTCTCAGGGATGATCATATTTGACGCTGAGAGAAACACGTACAGTGAGGGATGATGTGTTTGATGCACACGCACACGCACACACACGCACACACACACACAAAGTGGTACTAAAACGGTCCAATGAGGCCATGCTGGTCAGCTCCCACACAATAAAGTTTTCATTGTGGTGCCACAGCAAAACTAATACATTCCAGGAATGTGTAATTCTTCTCTGACAGGCACCAAATTCTCCTAAAATATATAAATGTACCTTAAAAAAGTAAGCGGCTCCCCATGTATAATTAAGAGGGAAAAACATGTTCATTAAAAATCTTAAAAAAAACCAAAACAACACCTTTAATAAAGTAAGTGTACAAGTCTGTTAGGGTTATGAGAGGAAAATAAGCAAGAGAAAATCCTCTGAGAGTTATATTTAATGTACCCCTCCTTAGGGTGTATTCTGTTTGAGACACCAAGCATGGCGTACACTTCCTTCACTGAACACCTTTACTGAATGAATTAACTTCTGAACGGATCTGGTATGAACAAGGACACGTTGTGGCACGTTTTCCACACCGGTTTTCTTAATCCCTTTTTAAAGGTGTGTGTATGTGTGACGGTACTGTTACTCTAAAATAACAGCATCCACAGGTTTCACGTTTAATGTTTTTACCACAGACATTCAGAACTAACAGTCTTTAAATTTAATGTGTCGTTAAAATATCAAGCCATCATCTGAACGCTAATAAAATTAAAACCGCTAGAGAATCAATGCAGACCTGCTCTCCCAGCATTCTGAATCCAGTCTTTTATTTAGGTCACTGAGTAAATGTGCTGTTGCCATGCCAGAAAGGCAGATCCATGTTTGAAAGCCTCTGGGAATGAGCCTCAGCCCATTTCTACCACATCCACAGTCAAACTAGACAAATTCACACATGAGTGAGTCCAAAGCCACGCAAGCACTGAAATATGTTAATTACTGTCGACCTCAAGTATCAGGTTTATTTAAGGGTGCAAAGTTTCACAGTCAACACGGAGTCTGTGCTTGTAAACGGCAGTGTTTGAGTAGTACTTGAGCTCTACTGCTGTGAAGCCTTCTGTGGAAGCCATCTTTATGTGATGAAAATGTCCTTTTTTCCTGCCTTAATTTTCAAAAGTGATAAATTGTGCTTAATTTGACAGACATATTTAAAAGAAAATATGCAGGCTTGTAGTCATGAATTACAATGCCCAAGTCACAAAGTCAGACTGATACTATGATCATACATCAAACTAAAGTGAAAAGGAAAGTTACACACACACACACACACACACACACGCGCGCACACACGCGCGCAAACTGTGCTTTCCAATGCTAACTTCCAATGGTTGAAAATGACCAGTTAAAAATATCTGCATTTTTGAGTACCTGTTTTGTTCTAGTTTCTTATATGAACAACATATTGCCAATGTTGTTATCGTTAACCAAAACTAAAGTTAATAATAAAATTATTTCTATAAACAAATTTTGGTAATTTCAATAAAGCTATATAAATAAAATATATACCGGTATTACACAAAAAAAACTTACAGGAAAATTAGAAATCCTGCCTTGACAACTAAATGAACTATATGTTTAAGTAGTAAAATAAGCAAAAGCCTGAATTTATTATAAGATTATATTATTGTAAATATATTAACCAGAAATATTGCTTGTAGTCATGAATTACAATGCCCAAGTCACAAAGTCAGACTGATACTATGATCATACATCAAACTAAAGTGAAAAGGAAAGTTACACACACACACACACACACACACACGCGCGCACACACGCGCGCAAACTGTGCTTTCCAATGCTAACTTCCAATGGTTGAAAATGACCAGTTAAAAATATCTGCATTTTTGAGTACCTGTTTTGTTCTAGTTTCTTATATGAACAACATATTGCCAATGTTGTTATCGTTAACCAAAACTAAAGTTAATAATAAAATTATTTCTATAAACAAATTTTGGTAATTTCAATAAAGCTATATAAATAAAATATATACCGGTATTACACAAAAAAAACTTACATGAAAATTAGAAATCCTGCCTTGACAACTAAATGAACTATATGTTTAAGTAGTAAAATAAGCAAAAGCCTGAATTTATTATAAGATTATATTATTGTAAATATATTAACCAGAAATATTAAAAAAACGAATAAAAATGACAAAAACACATGAAATTACTAAAACTTAAAACTACAACTGAAATTATAAAGCTAATTGAGAGAATTCATAAAAACTTTAATAGTATATACTACTAATATAATACTGTATATTATACTAAAAAAATCTTGAATGAAAAAGGAAAACAAGGATTTTCATCATTCTCCATTTCTAAAAGTACACCAATTAAAGATTAAAATGTAGGACATTTATCATTTTTTTCTTAAAATAATTATGTAATTACATCTCTTATGCTGAACATATTTGAATGCTATTCAACAAGATATACATTCCAGACCTGCAGAAACCATTTGTCAATTACTGTCCTGAACTGCTATTGGTTGACTGATATGCTGACCCTGACCTGTCCTTCCTGTTATAAAAACCCTTTTTAGCTACTGCAGTCCCACAGGAAGTGTAGATCCTGCTGCTGAAGCAACAGGAAGGACATTCCTCTTTATATTGTAACATTCCAGGGTGAGCACTTCATTTCGCTCCACTCAAACACTTTCAAATTAAATGCTTGAGCTATTCTAGTGTATCATCACACTCCCCTCAGTTCACAGTGAAGAGTCACTGAACTTATTGAACCATGATGCATCTGCCTGCCGACACCAGAGGGAGATACAATTACAGTGAGGAGACTATGAAAGCTCATGGGGTCAATATAAAGTGGACATTCAATTTCTTGTTGGACATAAGTCGCTTTTTAGCAGTTCAGAATGGACAGCCAGAGAAGGCTCAATTTCCATATTTTTTTAAGACCATTCGAAAATTTGGGGGAGGTAAAAGTTTAAAAGCACCGCACTTTTGTAACAATGTAAAAGTCTTAACAGTCACTTTTGATCAATTTAAGGTGTTCTTGAGAATAAAGGTATATATATTATGCATGCATAATGTAGTTTGCAGAAGCAAACAGACTTGCAGACGGACAAGACGGGTCATGGCTTGTGGTTTCTCTGTCTTTCTTGTGGTGGTAAACTTGAAATAGATCCTCCTTTGAATCTGAAAAACACTCAGCAAGCCCTGTAATCACTGGGGTGCAGTGAGAGCACAGGGTGTGCAACCTCTGCCACATTCTAGTTCCACCCAGTAAGGAACCACC